ATCTAACAAAGAGAGATAGACAAAGTCGAAAAAATTGCAAATTAGTACGATAAAAACTATCAACAACTATCATGTTTGAACATGTCTAAACAACATGCTAGCCGATGATAGTCGATGACAGTACACGGTAGTTCGTGTTCAAACGCGCGTGATAGTGGAAACCATCATCAACTTTCATGACTGTTCGAACGGGGCTTTATTTTTGGCCAATTGGTGCAGGATGTTTCAATACCAAGATATCTTTAACTCAGCATTCACGTCTCGCTTCAATTTCTAAAGTATGGCCTCCAGATGTGGCAGAGCTTTTCCTTACTCAGCGTACAATGTTTTAAAAGGGCTGTGAATATCATACTTAATTGTCTTCCTTTCATGGCACCCTTCATCTCAAGTTTCTGTCAGCAGCTGTCAGTACACTTATACGGGCTCGTGACTTAATAACATCGCATGTGCGGCGGATCAATCAACGTATTTCGAACTCTTCTTCAGAAGGTAGATAATGTAATGGACGTCCTAATACGCAATCGTTTTTTATTGAAGTGTCAACTTTTTTTTTCTATCAAAAACGGACCAATTACATTAAAGGCTATTTGCATCAGGCGTGGAGCGCCGTTTTAGCGAAACGTGACTCTCGCCTTGCAGCATGTGCAGGTGTTTTGGTAAGACGGCTTTTATTTGATGAAGGTTTGCACAGCATAACACAGACTTGTAATGTTTAGTTAGCCTAAAAAAGAATATTATCCTCTGCTTTTTGTATGTAATCATTGATTTCTAAGCCTAATTTTTAATACTTAGTTTTACATGTCAATACATGCATTGGATGGTCCAGCTACGACTACCCGTAAATAACATATCCCAAGCCTCCTTTTTTGTTCCGTTATGATCTCTTGATAAGTTTGAATTCTTTTAAATTATAATGTCTGAATCATGGGGAGCCATTTGAGCCAAAAATATCAATGGCTAGTGTTAAAACTCAATCGGTAGTGCTAATTATTAATCGCTTGTGATGAAACTCAATCGTTAGCGTTAGCAGCAAATCGTTATTGTAAATCAGTTTAGTTTCCGTTCTAAAATGATCAGTCTTTAGTGCTGAACCTCAATCGTTTGTGAATTTATTAAAAGCGCCAATTATAAAGAAGAAAAATGGAAGAAAAGGGTTCATTTGTCATGAGGTATCTTGGAGAGAGCGATCACTCAGCAATTTAAAGTTAGTTGCTTCGCATAAAACAGTTTAGGCGATTTTAGACACGCACGGAAGGAAGAAATTTTCACTCGTTGGAATTTTGCGTTTAAGAAAATGACCGAAACTTTGTACTTTTCGAATGGCTTTAATCAACTATCTGACTTGTAGAAGGCTTGCCGTGTGCGTGTGTGTGGGAAACTTTCTCAGCAAAGTTATTAAAATTCTATCAGAAATTATGAATATGAATTACGACAAGTATCTTGGCATCAGTTAATGTCTGGGATATCGGACAACATACTACATTCAAATTATCGAAGCGCATTGAAAATCGAGGGGTCTTTTTTCCATAGGTATTGGTTTAAAACACACTTACACTGGCCTCCCTCTGGGAAAGATAAAACATTGATGGTGTTTTTACAAAGATGATAATTTTCGAAGTAGCCCAGTGGCCTGACCGGAAGGCTCATTCTATACTGCAGTGATGATTTATTTAGTCGGCTAAGACTCGTAATTTCCCGCAAGAAACAGGGTAAAAAATTATATCTGAAAAACTTCGGAATGTTGTCTTAGCTTGCTATAATTCTAAATATAGATCGACAGAATTTCGGGGAACAACACTTTCTAGTTTATTTAGAGGCGTTATAAATTAAGACTGAAATTTAGGCAATCTAAAGTATGCAACAACCTAAAGCCAATGCAAGATTTACAATGAAGCGGACGTGTATTTATGAAGTATCTCCACAAAAACAGAAGGAAAAATTGTAAAACGATATGAATCATAGAATGAATACTTTATCGATTTAAAAACTCTCCTTCACTTTCACCTGATGTAAGCTTTCAAGTGAATATTGAAAACCCCTGATGGGTTATTTTCTTTGATTGGTTAACGGCTACAAAGTTGTGCAGGAAAAAGGGAATAATGAGTGAGACAGACATGGTTTGATGCTACTCTGGTCTACAGATTTAATGAATGTAACCGAATAAGTTACAATTCATAGACCTAACGTTTCGACACTCGTGTCTAGTGCCTTCATGTGAGACAATTGTGATAAGTGACCGTTTTGCAGCCTAATTAGCTTTATCGTAGAGCCTATTCTTGTGTAGTAAAAAAATCCACGTCAAACAAACAGACAAATTTGAAAATCACAGGACTGCACCTCTGCCTAAAGCTTGATTGCGTGCGATGAAATTATATGCCAAATATAAATATGAAGGAATAAAAAAATTTAGTGAAATAAGAGACAATAGCTATATTATTTAGGTTGGGAAATTCTTATAGTATTATCTGGATCGTTTACTTTAACACTGTACCACGCTTTAATAAGTATAGCACACTTCACAAGGTAATATCTTGGGTGGATATAAAAATCTGGGTTAAGTGTATTTCAATGTTGTTGAAGAGAAGGCTCTAACAAAATACCTTAGGTGGTGTACCAATAACAAAAATTCAAGAAACTCTGCTGAGGAAAATTTAATGTAAGGGCACTTACCCTTGTTATTGACGCTGAATAACAGTTATTGGACCAGTTATTTCAATCCACGTTTGTTTCAATGCGGACCTATCCACCTGCTCACGAAGGAGTGTTTCTTCGTTTTGATCGGCAAGCGTTCACTAGGTAGTTGATAATGCAAAGTGCTTAATTTTCGTCGGTGGCTAAACCGTCCCAATTGGCTAGTCAGATTACAAGTGTTTGAAATCAGACGGATAACGTCGGACAGTTAGGACTTGAATCAGTCAAGCCACAAATTAGGCTGGCTAATAACCACATAACATATTCGTGCAATTTGTAGTTGACACAATTAGGATGATAATCTTAAAGCTTTATGATTAAACTCGAAGTCACGCGTATTTGTGCTCATCATTTATTTAAAATCTCCACACGCCTTCGGCACGATACAAAAATGAGAACAAAAACTTATGAGTAAACTCAAAATAATGAAATTTTTTTGGGAAGCATTTAAAAACGACGAGGCTGCTTCTAAAGATGGGACAAAAATATTGATCCACAGGACGTATCCTGCATAACTAGTGTGCTTGTACTGAATAAATGAATCTGTTTTAGGACGCCATCTCGTTGTCCTTCTCAAGGCATGTAGCTTCACGATCACTGCGGTCATTTTTCGCAATTTCAAAAATTTTTCTGGATTTTACAAGAAATCTTGGAGCGCAAATAATTTTTGGGTTTCTATAAGTTATTTAAAGAGACAGTGATCTAAGCAGAATTTGTAATTGTATTTTAGATAAAAGATAACTTTTCAATAATGATTTATTGAAAACAATTACTGTTCAAAATATGTTTTGGGATATCAATGTATCTTATCAGATTTTAAGAGAGTAAGCAAGATTTTATTGGTTTATTTTTGCTTAATAAGCGGGAGAGAGGTTCAAGTTAGAGTTGACAACGATTGAGGTTTTGAATTTTATCATTAGCGACTGATATTTTTGGCACAAATGGCTCCCCTTAATGAATCTTGTTCAACAATGGTTATCTTATATGACTTAATATTTACACACCAGAGGCTAATTTTGAGTATCCCATCAGCTGATCTCATCGGATGGAAATACATTACCATCTACTCTCAAACAGATGAAGTCAAATTCGTAGATCAGTATCGTCTCCGAAGGGAATGATACGGTAAAATGTTCATTCAGTTGTAGCATTACATTTCTATCTTAAAATTCCCAAGGTCAAATATATCATGTCTTCGTTCAGTTAAATCACAGGTTTCCTTTGATTTTAGTTCAAGAGTCAGAAAACTAAGGAAAGGAAATGAGCAATGATTGAGTCTTTAATATGCCAAGACAGCTTTCTCTCCTCCCCTTTCATTTCTAAACGCTCAACAACATCACCTCTTTTTAGATCTAGTGGCCTCAAGATACGATGAAAAAACTGAGGTACAAGCTCACACCAGTAGGCCCTGAAAGATTGCGCCAGTAAAAGTAGCATATTGTGCTACTAGCATCGCTCAATTTTTCCAAATTATGCTCTTTTTTTGAAAATTAGGCTACTTTTTACCTTATGGTATGAGGTCGGTCAAACTATGAGGTTTACGTGTGGAAGGAATCTCTCTCACCCTCTCGATTCTGGGACAATTAATTTATGAATTAAAAGCCTATCTTCCCCAATAGGTTTGCTTGAAAATTCTTGCTAGTGTTTGCTGATCAAATATATAGGGATGAGTACAAAGGTCGAAATTTTTACCTTATCACATGGGCTAATGAACATAATTCAAAATGGCGTCCATCGTCGGGCCTTAACATCTACAGTACTGTAGCTGGTTTTTCTCTCTTTTCGTTTCATCCTCTCCATCCGAGGGGCAAACATGCAGAAGAATACTCAACTAGAAGGAGAGGGCTTCCAGATTTTTAAAATAAATATGGAAAGATATTGTCTCCCTGCGTAAGCCATTTTAATTCTTGTCGACTAGGTGTTTTTGTGCGCACGCTTTTGGCTGCCACCTGGTCACATCTGTTCTGTTACTGGGAAATAACATTTATTTGTCATCATGTATGTGTGTGTCAACTTTATTTATGGAGGGTGACGACAGCCAGTTAAAAACCAAGCCAGCAATTACATATGGTTAACGAGAGACCTAGATGCCTAAAACTGAACACATTGATCAATCAACATCAAAGCAGGTTCTATTATAACTATGTACACGTTCGCACTTCCTTAAAACTTGATGCAAAATCATTTTAAGTTTGAATTCATGCATCTGAAAAAAACAAAACAAAGCAAAACGAAACAAAAAAAACTAAAAATAAGCACGCATTTATCTCAATACATTGAAAAGCAATTCGGATTCAAGACAATTGTACGTAGAGAGTAGTTTTGATCACGTTTCATGCGCGAATTTTGGAAAAATTCACGCTTCAAACAGCATCCTAAACAGCATTTCATGCGTCACGAGTTCAAAAAGGATGCATGCATTAACGAATCCACAAATTCAAGGAGTAACTTTTAGTTATCGAGCCCCATACGTCGTTACTAAAATCAAATTCTCTTCTGTTATCCTCTTTGATTTTAAAAGAGGCAAGTTTCGCCACCGTTGTCCCAATTCCGTGATCAGCACCTGAACAACCAGTTCCGCCTCCTCCAATCATGATCACAGAACCACTCCAGCCTTCGTTACACCAGAAGCCGACCTCATCAGCACCTTGCAGGTCACCACTGCATGAAGCCTGCCCAAAGCCCTCGGTGGTAAGGTATTGTCCTCCATATTTAACTTTGCATTTTCCCAGGCACTCACCATTGGACCAAACTGAACCGTTTCTGAAATCACCATAGCTGGTAATTTTGGAACGGAATGTCTTCCCGCTCAGACAATTCCCTGTTGTTTGCAATAGAGGAGTGTGTCCAGAGTCATCATTGCGCGTGATCTTAAGCTCTCTGCCACTGACCAGCCAGAACGCCGGCGATATCATGTCTGCGCTGTATGACGGGTCAGCAGTTTTTCCTGCACCTTGAGCACTGTCATACCACCAGTCTCCTGAGTCATCCATCCAGTTTTTAGTGTCACTGTTTGAAAACCGAGCGAGGAGGGTCCAGGCCCCATCCTTCGATACCATGTCACAATAAACCTGCACAGAAATTAAAAATTCCATGCAAACTTGCATTTTATGATCCAAAGTTGTTTTTTCGTGAATGGTCGATAAGAAAGGAATTATGAATTCCAAACATTCTAACTTTTACGATACAAATCTATTCTTCTTGAATTGTTTAAAAATGAAGAATTATAATTTAGTTACCAGAAAGTTTTTGGATTTCATTTTTGTCTTCTGGGGCCCCAGCCAATATCTACCACTGACCGCC